ATTTACGATGTAAATCTAAATCCCTTCGAGAGGCGGATTTATGGATCTACGGAGTTGAATTTTGCGGAAGAAGTGCACAAAAGGGCGAAAAAAATATTACCTTCGCCAAAAGGAACATGCAATACCTTGGGTGGCGGCTCATGGGGCTTCACCAACATCCGACAAGCTGATAAGGTGAAGAAGTACTTTCTCCTGTTTTTCTTCAATCTATTTGTGCACCTTCGCCTTGAGCAGAGAAGGAAGCAGCAAGCGAGCTCCCGTCATGCGAAGCACGTATACCACGAAGAAATGACGACGAGGAAAAGCTAGAAAGCCAAACCCTTGATTATAAATTAATAATTAGTTGTCTAATTATCATTACATTAGTTTAATTAATATTGGTAATTTATTAGTTGTATAATTATCATTAAATTTGTTTAATATAATTAGAAGTTAAGACTATAATTAGATAATTAGTTATTAGTTATATAATTGTCATTAAATTAGATCATTAGTAATATAATTGGAAGTTAGCTTAATTAAAACTAATTATAAATTAATTATTTAAGTGTTAATTATCAAATTATTTATTATATTACTAATTCAAGCAGCTATGCAAATTAAATTTAAAAGTCATTAATTTTAATTTTTAAATGAACCAACGGTCTTAAATTCTGAATTAAGTTGCCAAACAGTTTCCAAGGATTTATCAAGATTTGACATTTATTATATAAATAGTTTTCAGGATTTAACACCTCCAGGATTTACTAAATCCAGATTTATAGGATTTATTAAATCTCACTAAAGTTAAATCCAATCCAATACAACCCCTAAAAAATTAATACCATTATTGTATCAGTCCCTTTTGCTAGAAAATATTAGGAATGACCTTTCTTTATTAGATTTTAACGAGAATTTGACTTTTAATAGGACACAATGGAGAAAAAGAATTCATGTAGCCGACCCCACCTAGTGGGATAAAGGCTCGATGTTGTTGTTGATTGTATCAGTCTCTTATTGCATTAGGAAAGGAAACCTGAACTTGCACTCAAAATCCACTAGCAAGCTTCACATTCTCGAATATCACCTCTAAATTATGCATGAAAAAATTTACTCCACATCCTGATGAGTATTGGTGTAAATAGTACCTAGCTTGGCAATGTATAGGAATGTAAAACTGGCCGCCAATCTTGCCATCTATCATTGGCATCCTTAGACCTTAACTACTGGAAATCCCTCTCAAATTTTCAGAAAAATTAGGTGTTTATAAGGTGTTAAACATCTTCATTTATCTTCAATATAATTAATAGTTTCTTTATGTAGAAATTGCCATTTGTAATCTAGTATTCTGCTGTATAAATAGAGGGGCAAGACCTCAAATCAAATGCACACAAGATTTAAATCATTTCTTCTCTCTTCAAAATCAAATTAAAGTTGTTGAAAAATTATTGCATATTAATTTTGTCATTAAAACCATTCCAGGATTGAACAAGAACAAGTAGTCTTCTCTTGCAGAATTTTCTTTTTGGAAGGGATGAATTCATAAGGAAATATCCACATGGATCACTGGAATGGATTAAACTAAGGAGAATGAATGACTGTTAAAGAGAATTCTTTGAGTTAATCTCAACATTGACATCATCCAAATCGTTGGATGCCATTAACCAGGATGAAGAAACTGTCTTTGAAAAACAAAAGTTTAGCATGAAGGCCAGCTTCAATAAAAGTTATGTATTAACCAAACGACCAACAAAGCCAGACAAACCAAAGGAATCTATTACTTTTGGCGCAATTTTTTTTT